CACAGCATGGACATGGTAAAAGCCACATATCTTAAGAGAGTGCTGGGATTACCAAGAAATGCCCAAAACAGGTTGGTCTACCTGATGGCGGGAACAAAATCCCTCATGGAGGAGGTTGCCTGGGATTTTAACCTCCCTCCCACTTCAAATTTCCAGGCATATTTGGAAGAAGTCCAAGATAAGTGGTCCCACATCCCATCTGAATTTAGGTCTTCCCCAGGGATGACCCAACAACATTGGAAGGAGTGTAACTCGGGAAACAGACACCTAGTAACCCGAGTATCAATACATGGGTTCCACTTCAAACTCTGCAAAAGACCAGATTTCCATTCTCCAATGCCAGACTGCATTTGCTCCTTATGTAGTGGATGTGCATCCCATCTCTACCATCTATTACAATGTCCAGGGAACACAAAATCCCTCAAAGCATGGGATAGCAGTGAATAACTGCTACCGCACATGTGTGATTTTCAACCCTATCTGCTCCTTCATGATTGTCCTATTGTGATCTCTATTGACCTCTATTGTGATCTCCTTCTCTACCTCCACCTTGGTGCAATAAATAAATAACAATTTTGAAAAAAGATCTCATGATCGTATTATCATGGTATAGAGAGACCGGCTTTTAATGAAAGAAGGGCCTTTCATGCTGGGTTCTTGTGTACATTGGATTGATAAAATATTTTTCAGGAAAAAAGAAACCGGGGCATCGTCAAGAAAATGCCAAAATGTTAGCCCTAGCAATACGAAAACCGGGACCCCAGAATGAAAAGAAAAATTAGATCCTTAAGATCTATTGACTACTATACGACCTTGAGCCCCCCCCGGAAACGTCAAAGGATTTTCGTTCAGTATATTGGTTCTTTCATCCCCCAAGAGCAGACAGTTTCCAAACGGAGACAGCCTGAAAAACCGGGAGCTGTCCCGGTAAAACTGGGACGTCTTGTCACAATATTAGTATAATAGCGATCGGAATTTCAACCCCGTCAGTAAAATACCATGTAAAATTACATACAAGTGGATTGTTCCATCGTCTGTCCGTAGTCCGTGTTCATTAACCTGGATACTTTTGTGTTCGAGATCCTTTTAACCTCGGATTTTTATGAGGAGTAAAAACAATTTTATTTGTCACTGGCGAAACCGGGATACCCATGACATTGTCTGACAAGAACCTCCATCGAGTGTAAATGTCCCTGGTCCTAACATCCCCGATGGCAATCTGGGTGGAAGTAACTAATGAGCTTTGTTTCGACAGAGACGCTATCCTAGGATAGTCATTTCCTGGAATTAGTCGAAACAGAGACGTTCACCTCCCTCCTGCCGCCTCCAGACAACCCGATCAATCCCAGGGCTGCTCTCGGACTGTCCCAGGTCTAGGTCTCAGTCGGGACGCGTATCTTTTCATCTTTCAAACGATAATTTTTGCACCCTATGTGGAGCATGGGCTTATCTGGCGGCTGTTGAGGGCATGCGAAAAATCCCCCCAGGCAAGGGAGACTCAAAAGGGGTAGGTAGGGCCAGGGGCAAGTGAGGTATTTCCAGGCATGCCATTATGGACCAACCCCAGACAGAAGCTGACTCGGAGAGCGACTAAGTCAACCCTAACGCTCTCTACCCACAATAGCATTAACTTCAACCTTCTTTCCAACGATTACAGAGTTTTAAAAGGACCTCTAGCGTCCCTGAATCAAAATACACGGTACTATGGCCCTGCCTTAAGGATGGTCGCCAGACCTTAGAAGACGACCCTCGCAGCGGTCGCCCTTCCACAGCTACTATCAGTGAAAAATTTCACGCTGCAGAAAATATTCTAATGCAATATCGAAGAGTTACCGTTCAGGAGCTTGCTACTACCCTGGGGGTCAGCACCGGAAAGGCTCATGAAATTCTTCATGAACATCTCGGTATGACGAAGGTTTCTGGAAGATGGGTGCCTCGCCTGTTGGTCGACCTTTTGTTCAGACCTCTGTTGGGGCTTGAACAAAAGGTCGATCGAATGAAAACGTGTCGAGAGCTGCTTCAACTTAAACTGCCAAGAATACGAGGAGAGTTTTTTCGACCGTATTATCACTGTATATGAGACGTGGCTTCCCTACTTCAATCCCGAGACAAAATCACAATCTAAGGAGTGGCGCCGATCTGAAGAAGGACCTCCTTTGAAGGCTCGAACTTTTCCCTCTTTGGAGAAGGTTATGATTACGGTTTTCTGGGATTGCAAAGGGCTAATGATGATCGACTTCCTACCAAAAGGTACCACAGTGAATGCAGAATACTATTCTAATTTGCTTTTGGGCCCTCTCCGACAGGTTCTTATCGAAAAACGCCCTGGGAAGTTGCATTCATGGCCACTTCTTCGGCAGCCCCACACCGCGCGCTGAACTAGAGCATCCATAGCAGAATTGAGGTGGGAATTGCTCCCGCATCCGCCCTACTCGCTAGATATGGCTCCCAGTGACTACCACCTCTTCGGCGAGAAGAAGAAGCCTCTGTGAGGAGTGCGTTTTCATCCCCTCAATGCAACGAAAACTGCACTAAGCAGGTGGATCAGAAACACTCCAGAAAAAAATTTTCCTGATGGTCTAAGGAAACGGATTCCAGGCTGGAGGAAATGCGTCGAACTCAGGGGGGACTATGTTGAAAAGTCATAGTATAATGGTGATGAATAAAGAAGTTACTCAGAAATTATAAAGAAAGTCCCAGAACTTCCTGAATGCCCCTCGTACATTGGGCGTCCTGACGTTGGAGGAACACATTTGGTCAACGTGGGCCCCAAGAAAAATGTTATGTTAATGTTAACCAATCGATGGTTGACATCTTTCGAAGAAGCTCTTCAATCAAGCTCTTCAATAATATAATAATCGTGTTGCTCACCTCAGCCGTTAACAGACAGCAGCTACTGAAAGTCGTTCGCCAAAGAGTGAAGTATCAAGGAAATAAACTCTTCAACAAGATACGAAGTGACGCGGAACATCCTCTACATCTCGAAGTAAGTAACTGCCTTCGTAGCCACAACTACCATATACCCGTAGCTGTCTGGCTCTTCCAAGAATTCGCCTGGAGCTCTACCGCAGATCCTTTTTTTTTTAAATCAAAGCTTGAAGGGAGATGACTTCATTTCTTTCTAGCCTACTTTAAACGATTATTGACTGTTTCATTTATTTATCTGTCTAGACGATTCTGAATCGAAGCAAATATGATAATTCCATAAATTCATCTATCATCCATGAGACATCTCCCAAGGAGAGAAAATATGACGCACCTCAGGCCTCTGCCTCCGATCATCGAGGACGTCTAGTTTACACCAGCACTGATGGTTGGTGTTGCTCAATCCTGCTCGAAAGCAGAGAGCAACTAACTTGACGATCTCACCCATTCGTTGTAGCAATCGAGACCACACAGACATGGAAAGGAGCCAAGAGTTGTCGGCGGGTTCCATCTCAGTTCCAATCGAAATGAAGTCGTTTTTCTAAATAGGCGGTTTTCGGCCTTTTCTTTACCAGGCTGAGTTCGAGACTCCTGGTTTAATGAACAAAAATAGCAATCTCAGGCCATGAACTAGTCGACGGATTTGAGACAGGCGAGGGCAGAAAATTGTTTGACTACGTTTGACAATCGCAAAGGCTATGTTGGCATTTAAGTAACGTAAACGGCAATAATTTGGGTCTACAGTATTTCATTTGGCGCTGCATTTGGGTCTTCGGGTGCCCTGACTGCTAGATCGCAGCCAGTGACAACTTCACCTAATTTAGATCCAGAGCCGGAATGAAACATTTTAAAATTACGTTCAGTCTATATATCTCAAGCGATTGCAATAACTTATTTCAATGAAGCCTTTGATAGAGTGATGTTTAATATTCTTTGCTTTTACAGTCTATGGCTACCAGCTCTTTGGTATTAATGTTTCTTAGCAAACGCGTCCATAGCCGTAGCGAAGTTACCTTTGTGATGAATGAATCTGCTTATTCAGGAGGGGGAAGCCTTCAAGGGAATTAATTGAAACTGGGCAAAGGTTATTCCCTTCCATGTTGCCATGATTTTACTCACTGCATCCTCTCGCTCAACAAACTTTGAGACTGATCATTCGCTCCCCATTAGAATATCCTAGAGGCGTCCTTTGCTCATTCCCTTTCTTCCCCTCGTTCCCGATTTAAAGTGTGGCCTCATATTTGGAGAAATGAAACTGAGCATGTTCCATGCTTTCTTGACACAGGAATCAGTTCAACAAATTTTAAGTTTCTTCTTCTCGGGTTGGTGAGATCCAGAATAATTTTTTTAAGCGTTTTTTCGCCCGTCTTTTTCCGCAGGAGTCAAACTAGGAGTTCTTCGAGAATATGCCTATACAAAAGAAACGTCTGGGTCTCTAGAGCCAAGATGCCATTAGATATCTCGGTGAAAATGATGTGAGATTGGAACGAGATAAGATTGAAGCAGTCCCAGCAAACAATTTGAAACACATAACGTCGAATTCAACGTTGAATCTACATAGAATAAACGTTCGGAACGTTGATTCAACGTTGGTCCAACGTTGCCTTTTTTTTCTGGGATGCTAGCTGCCAAGCATTATGATCAACTTTGGAAGAAATTCCCTTTTATTGTAAATTGCCAGGGAATACTCCATAGCTATAGCATCTCTGAATATATTCCATCAGTGATGTTCAGCGAGGAATTCCCTCTCTGGACTGATCGGTCTTTTGAGGTGTACCCAAACCTCGGTCCAGATATTAATGAATATTCACTGCAGCAAGTACCACTAGAGAAAATGGCCAAGTATGACGAAGTAATGCACATTTTTCTGACGGCTCCCCACAACAATTTGGTAGAGATGGTTTTGGGATATGGATTCCTTCTGCCCCCTCTACCCCAAGGGGAGGGGAGGGGGGTTCAAGGGGGGTTCTGAACCCCTGAACCCACCTCCCAACCCCTGCTCATTATAGTATCCCTCTACTTCTCCATCCCCCTCTCCCCCTAGGATGGGGACGCAGAGAGATATGAGCAAACAACCTGCCAGCGAGGCTGGAAAGGCACAAAGATAGGAAGTGAAAGGTGAAGGTCACGCTAGTCGTAAGTGGCTACTCGCTTTAGTAAAGTGAATTTGCCAAGGAAGCATCCTGCACATGTGACGCTACTGAATTTTTTCGGAAAAAAATTAGTAGTTTTATCCTATGCTCTCAAGAAATCTTTCTACAGCTAAAAAAAAAAAAAATCATTCCCAACCATTAGCGGAGATTTCCACTCTGTAGAATTATCCTCACCAGACCGCGGAGACCGCAGACGGAAGTCTCTGTTCTGACGCACGGCGGTCTTCAATTTTTTTTTTCACTGGATTTCTGAATGAACTCAACTGTGACTATGCTCTTTACTTGTTCTATAAGCATGGTTTGACTTCGTAGTAATGATGTTTTAGATGATAGATGGCATGACACTATCATAAATTATTTTTCGAAATTCGTGTATTTCTGGTCTAGTGTCTTAATGTACTATTTTGTAATTTTTTATTTTCCATGTTTAGCATAATAAAATATTCCCAGAGCTCTACTGAATACTTCAGTTTTTTAATCATGACTGTGCATCAATTAGTTCATGAGTTATGATTTTTTCTCAGAAACGTTATGTTTTCGAGAAAATGACCGGTCTGCAGGGATTTCACGTAGGAAAACTACCCGACAAGGAAAGTGTTAACAGGCATTGGAAATTACAATGGGACACCTCCACTACTGGCCGTCATCTATATCGACTAACTAGCTGTGGTCGCGCCTTCGGCGCTCCATTACCTTGGATAGCGATTAATTCATTCATTTTTGCTAAATGGGAAACATTTATTTAAAGTACGTCCCCATTGAAATGCGTGACATATGGGGTCGAAAGTCTTGATTTTTATCAAAATCATTACTTCTATGATTCTATGTGTGCCTAACTTGAAATCCTTTTTTGTGTCCCTTTTTGTAAGGGTGGAGAATACATTTAGAAATACTTCCCTCCTATAATCTACGCTAAGAAGACATTTCAAGTGTAGGATTTTTCCTCTACTCGGCCATCAACAGGAACTTCTGAGGGAAGTTTAAAATTTCTATCTCTGTTTCGTTGGATCAAAAAATAATTAGGAAAATGGGACTGAAAAGAGTGCCCTAATGGGTTTTAACGAAAATTTTATTATTATTTTGAAATATAGATTCAGGGACCCAGGTAACACATCCATGTGGAAACAACATTGAAACAATGTTTCATGGCAACATATCTAATGTTGAAACAACATTGAGGTACCACATTGATTCAATGTGAAGATGTCATTTTTGTCAACATTGTTTCAACATTGAAATGGAATGTTGAAACAATATTGATGGGAACATTTATTCAACATTCCTCAATGAGTCTCTCGTGATTGGGTTTCTCCATGGATAAAGTAGAGGTAAATTCATCAAAATGAATCGCATGACCTGTGGATGATGAACTACATATACAAAAGAGGATAAATCCTCTTCAGTATCTATAGGTCAGTACCCACAGAGTACTGAGAAGTTTGAGAGGATGGGTCCTCTTTAGTTCTGCAAACAGCACCAAAGCCTTGCATGCCTAACTGGTTTGCAAAACGAGGATAAATTCTCTCAGCTCCTCTTTTAGAAGATTTGTGAATAGATCACTTCTGGTTATTTTTGCGCGTGCTCTACACGTCTCCAATCGCCTAGACTTCTATGCGCTCACACTAAACCTGGACATTTAATTTGTTTCAGAATCAGATGCTGCAATCAGAACATCCTAATTCCACATTTCTCTAATATATGTGTTCATTAATTACGTAATAAAAAAAGAAAGTGGNTTAAAGTGTGGCCTCATATTTGGAGAAATGAAACTGAGCATGTTCCATGCTTTCTTGACACAGGAATCAGTTCAACAAATTTTAAGTTTCTTCTTCTCGGGTTGGTGAGATCCAGAATAATTTTTTTTAGCGTTTTTTTGCCCGTCTTTTTCCGCAGGAGTCAAACTGGGAGTTCTTCGAGAATATGCCTATACAAAAGAAACGTCTGGGTCTCTAGAGCCAAAATGCCATTAGATATCTCGGTGAAAATGATGTGAGATTGGAACGAGGTAAGATTGAAGCAGTCCCAGCAAACAATTTGAATCACATAACGTCGAATTCAACGTTGAATCTACATGGAATAAACGTTCGGAACGTTGATTCAACGTTGGTTCAACGTTGCCTTTTTTTCTGGGATGCTAGCTGCCAAGCATTATGATCAACTTTGGAAGAAATTCCCTTTTATTGTAAATTGTCAGGGAATACTCCATAGCTATAGCATCTCTGAATATATTCCATCAGTGATGTTCAGCGAGGAATTCCCTCTCTGGACTGATCGGTCTTTTGAGGTGTACCCAAACCTCGGTCCAGATATTAATGAATATTCACTGCAGCAAGTACCACTAGAGAAAATGGCCAAGTATGACGAAGTAATGCACATTTTTCTGACGGCTCCCTACAACAATTTGGTAGAGATGGTTTTGGGATATGGATTCCTTCTGCCCCCTCTACCCCAANACATTTTTCTGACGGCTCCCCACAACAATTTGGTAGAGATGGTTTTGGGATATGGATTCCTTCTGCCCCCTCTACCCCAAGGGGGGGGGGGGGGGGGGGGGGGGGTACAAGGGGGCTGAACCCCTGAACCCACCTCCCAACCCCTGCTCATTATAGTATCCCTCTACTTCTCCATCCCCCTCTCCCCCTAGGATGGGGACGCAGAGAGATATGAGCAAACGACCTGCCAGCGAGGCTGGAAAGGCACAAAGATAGGAAGTGAAAGGTGAAGGTCACGCTAGTCATAAGTGGCTACTCGCTTTAGTAAAGTGAACTTGCCAAGGAAGCATCCTGCACATGTGACGCTACTGAATTTTTTCGGGAAAAAAATTAGTAGTTTTATCCTATGCTCTCAAAAAATCTTCCTACAGCTAAAAAAAAAAAAAAACATCTTAACACATTCCCAACCATTAGCGGAGATTTCCACTCTGTAGAATTATCCTCACCAGACCGCGGAGACCGCAGACGGAAGTCTCTGTTCTGACGCACGGCGGTCTTCAATTTTTTTTTTCACTGGATTTCTGAATGAACTCAACTGTGACTATGCTCTTTACTTGTTCTATAAGCATGGTTTGACTTCGTAGTAATGATGTTTTAGATGATAGATGGCATGACACTATCATAAATTAAGGGCATGTACCTCCAAAGTCAGATTTTTTTTAAAATACCAAATGAACCAAGTTTCAGATTTCTAACCTTTCTAGAACATGGTTAGAATTAGCGTCAGTCAGTCAGTCACGATCGTCTATATATATATATATTAGAAGCTAAACCCAGGACAATGGGACAAGTAACTCGGATAATAGACGTTTCGAAGTGGTACTATGTAGATTTAGAATTGGGCATGCCCGTTCAAAAGAAGGACTTTTCCGGATAAATTGTGCACCATCCCCACCCTGGTTGGTGTCAGGTTCCTGAGACTATTCACCATATACTGTTGGATTACAAAGGCTATGAGGAGGAGAGAGACATTATGAAATCACAGCTACAAACAACTGGGATCATTGCCCCCTCTAAGTCTACCACTACTCGTTGGAGACATGAAATATAATCCCAAGTAGCGCAAAAGTAGCGGGCCATAAGCGGCCCTGGCACCACACTGGTGGATTTCTGCAGGGGGCGGGAAAGCGGGGGCAAGTTGGACATGCAGTTGCTGGCCCAATCTATTGTAGGTAGGAGGGCCACCGGTTCAGAGAGAGCTGGTGGCCCTCCTACCTACCAGGTGGCTCCACCAGTTTAGGGCGGAGAATGTAGTTAGCACTCCCCTAGATGCAGTACCAAGAGTCCTCACTAGATGGTAGCCCCGTTCCCTGCAACTACAAATGCGATGAAGTACCTGCCTTCCTGATTTAGCAAGTGTTTCTTCCTCGTTTTTCCTTTTTTAATGTGCAATCTATTTTTTTTTTTAAGTTACTAGGAAATCGTGGAATTATGATGTTTTGATTGCAATATAAGACTCGGGGAATTATTAAATGTTGAAGTTAAGTATGAGAATTCAGAAGTATACGAGACTAGGGGAAGATAGTGAGACGGGGAACATCTTGTCATATTTGAATTATGTCTTGGTACTCATAGACTTCTGGTCTCTCTCCCAGAGATCTATCATATATTGGATGCGGATTAGGAGAGCATTGGGTCATCTTGGTACTCTTGAGTACTCTTCTGAGGAGGCTCCAGAGCCAATATTTACAGATGACTCGGGTATATATGGAGGCATTAGGACCCTTCCCAGCTGGTAGTACACCACAAACAAGCTAACTGGTTATGTGCTGGCCCTTTAGAGGGCCGGAAGGTGGCGGGCCAGTACTGGCAAGTGGGACATGCGGCTGGTGGCCCACACCCTAATCGAAGTGATGGGCCATCAACTCTCTTCCCCAAAAGTAGTTGGTGGCCCACCATCTTTGTTACTTGGAGGGGTCTTCAGGCTTCAGATGCACATGCAGTATTAGTAGCTTATATTCTAGAAACTTTCCAGGAAAATACAGGACTTCTATTCACATTATAGACTTAGTTTTAGTAAGTTTCATATGCTAATTATCCATACTTGTCTAACCTCTGAATCAACAAGACCCCTTTTACCCCTTGTACTGTCGTATAAGTCCCCCTGATCGGCGCAGTGGGGCATTAGACTAAAATTTCAGTAGAACGGGATACTGTGCTTGTAGTAGGTACCTCCTTAAGTTAACATAGTGGATTTTCCTTTCAGGACTTGTCTGAATCTAGTGCATTGGGCCACATTTGCAGAAGGCAAACGGCCCCTCAACAACAACTAGCTGCCAAGCGGAGGAAAATGGACATGCACATGGGAAGAGCATGGCGCCCCACGTGCTGGCGGATGATAGTTTATGACTTTCTTCAGTCGTCCTCGTTGAGATGGTTCGAGAAGCTCGAGATAGGTCCAGCGGTATACGCCCTCGTCCAGACTCTTTTAGACGAAAAAGAGGTACGCCTAGACCTCACTTGAAGACTCTTCGTGCGTTGAACCTAGGTCTAGGCCCACAAAGCTCTCTCAGGCTACCTTATGATCAATGGCACTGACAATTCACTGTTTTTCACTTGAGTCAGACAATTTTCCCCACGACTTAGGCATTTATGCATGGTTTTTACTCGTGCTTTAGTGACTGAGTCTAGTGAAATATTCTCTGATTCAAGCCGCCTTAAGAAACTCAACATAAAATGACATCCCAGTATGACACATGTATGGATCCATAGCCGGGAATTTAGCCAGAACCTCCAGAAGAAATGGGGCTATGATGGGCCTAGGCTTAAGTGAGCCTTGCCATTTGCATGCTCATGTGCAATGTTTCTTAATTGAAATCGTAGCTCCCACGGAACTGCTTCTATCAATTGTATCAGATGGATGCTTACTTGGATCATCTGATGAAGCAGATCCTCTGGAAGAAGTACTTTGGTTGCCACAATCCAAGGGGAGAGGTATGCATTCAACCAAAAATAGAACAGCCAATAATGTATATGTCCTATTTTCAGTCTCAATGTGTACCTTGCTTCCATGATCCCTTCAAGGGAACCAGACATCTTTTTTTTGGTGGTAAGTTTGACACCTCACCTATACAGTGTTATGGCAAACCAGACAAGCATTAAAATGTTTAAATTGGAAAACTTATAGTCAATTCAGCAGACCAAGCATGAGTCAGAAAGCACCAGCTAAATAAAGAGGCAATTTTACCCCAAAATAGTTTGAAGCAATGGTGTACAAAATAATGCATTAGTATATTACTATAATTATATTATTTTAAAATGTCATATTGCATGGATTGGTATTTGGGGTTGAATAGGGCATTCAATACTGCATATGAAACCCTAAATGTTAGGAAATAAATTCCAAAGTTTGGTTGAAACACCATTGTCCTGAGGTGAATCTAGACACAATTCAATTGTCAATCACATTGTTAGTTTTTGCTTTAGTTTGTATGTTCTGGATGATAGGATAAAATACAGTGTTTTTTGCATGTATTTTCAATGTTTTTATATATTCTATTTTTTTTATGCTCCAGTTGTCCCTTAGACCTCACAGGCATTGTCCCTGCATCTGTTAGTTCAAATTTTTGCCTCTTTTCATACTTTTATGAGGACCAAGAAAGGGATCCCACTTATTATGGAGCAGACCAGAAATTTGAGCTAATGAATGAGATCAAAATCACTATTTAATGCATCATACCATCTCAAGATCCTTTTTATGCATCATTACCAATACCAGCTTAACAAACCCTATTTAGTGCACACTGAATGAGCCCTCCAAATTTTTGAACGAGTCATCACTCTTTTTTGGTGTCTGGCTAGTATGGGTGACATATTCATTTCTGCATCACATCTGGGTTGGGTACCATGAGTAGTTAACTTACTTCCCTTTAAATCCTCGTGAAGTTTACCACGTGGGTTAGGATAACCTTCTATACGTGGTTTGAGTAAAAAAAACCTCATCCTCTTTACGGTACTAGGTAAAAAACCTCCTGCAAACTGAAAAACTTGCATCTCTAAGACATCCTGTTGGTATCAGAGCATCTCAGCCATATTTAAAAGAATGATTTTCCCTCTGCACTTATATACCATAATGGCACAATATAATTGTAGAAAATTGTGACAATTGAGTGACAAGAGTGATATTAGAGCCGTTGTAAGGCTGTTGTAAGTTTCAAAATTGGCACACGTTGCTACAGATGGTGTTAGTTAGGAATCTGAGTTTGGTACACCCTTAACTCATTGGATTTTTTTCCCAATAATTATGCACATTTGGAAAAAAAATTTTTATTTGGTTTGAGCTAATGCAGGTAGTGTGCTTTTTATAAACCATCTAAGAAGCAGACATTTGATTTTAGCATGGCATAATTGTGTCAATGCACTCAATACTCAGAAAACCCATGACATAAGGCCCATGTCATATACAGACCCTGCTCATGTTATTAGACTCAAGCAAGAAAAAAAAAAATCAACTGCACAAGTGTGCACATTTCCTGCTTTCTTTGGTCTTTTGCTTTCACCATGGGAGCCTAGAGCACAAGACTCAATATAATTAATTTAATTAAAATAATAGGGTTTACTGGGCTTGCCAGCTGCATTCCCAATGAAATTCTATATTTTTCTATGCCACTGTGTTGATAAATTAAAAAATAAATTTAAATCTTCTGGAATATTTCTGTAAATGAATTTACCATTTGAAATAATTTTAAATAATAATCATATCTTAACTTTATCATTTAAAAGGATTTCAAGCTGGATATTTACATTTCCTGAAATTTTTATGCTTTAAACATGGTACTCATCAATTGAATGAAGGGAAATTTAGGAGCACTTCAAATGGTGCACCCAATCCTATTGGAAGATATGCACCAAACTCATTTTTTTTGGAGTAGGAGAAATGCCATGATCCATTTTTTGTTCCTGCAAACTGAAAAACTTGCATCTCTAAGACATCCTGTTGGTATCAGAGCATCTCAGCCATATTTAAAGGAATGATTTTCCCGCTGCACTTATGATCAGTACCATAATGGCACAATATAATTGTAAAAAATTGTGACAAGAGTGATATTAGAGCTGTTGTAAGGCTGTTGTAAGTTTCAAAATTGGCACACGTTGCTACAGATGGTGTTAGTTAGGAATCTGAGTTTGGTAAACCGTTAACTCATTGGATTTTTTTCCCAATAATTTTGCACATTTGGAAAAAAAATTTTTTATTTGGTTTGAGCTAATGCAGGTAGTGTGCTTTTTATAAACCATCTAAGAAGCAGACGTTTGATTTTAGCATAGCATAATTGTGTCAACGCACTCAATACTCAGAAAACCCATGACATAAGGTCCATGTCATATACAGACCCTGCTCATGTTATTAGACTCAAGCAAGAAAAAAAAAATAATCTGCACAAGTGTGCACATTTCCTGCTTTCTTTGGTCTTTCACCATGGGAGCCTAGAGCACAAGACTCAATATAATTAATTAAATTAAAATAATAGGGTTTACTGGGCTTGCCAGCTGCATTCCCAATGAAATTCTATATTTTTCTATGCCACTGTGTTGATAAATTAAAAAATGAATTGAAATATTCTGGAATATTTCTGTAAATGAATTTACCATTTGAAATAATTTTAAATAATAATCATATCTTAACTTTATCATTTAAAAGGATTTCAAGCTGGATATTTACATTTCCTGAAATTTTTATGCTTTAAAATAAGCCTGGGTTATGTAGTGAAACAACAGGTATTATGGAACTGCTGAGCCAGTGCTACAAAATACCAGATTTATGCAACAAAAGTCAGTCATACATCAAGAAACACACATCCAGGTGCATCTACAGGTGGAAAGTGTAGTCTCCACTTCTATTTTACCATTTTTGTATAATTTTAATATCTAATTTGTCAAAAAGCAAGTGGTATTGAAAAGTATTGAATTTCATTGGTTATGCAGCCTTAAATCCAGTTTATTTTATTATTTTATTCAATTCTAATGAATTTCATGTTCTTGACTGTTATAGGAAAGCAAATGAAATAATACCAACCAAAACTGCAGAAATATGAGCATAAGTTTAGTTGATTTTTTCTCATTTTCTTGCTTGAGTCTAATAATATAAGCAGGGGCTGTAACTTTGAGAGATTCATCAGTTAGAACTAGAAGAGCAATGTGTGTTGATATTTTGTACGAGTTAGCACTTGATAGAGTTGACAACAATGTGATGATACTTGATTAATTGATTTGTCTGCTTCTTCTGAGCAATTCACTGCAATATTTAGCTGGATTGTCATCTTGTTTCCTCTTTACAAGAAGTCCATCGTTACCTCTTGTGCTGAAGTTGGTAGTTTACCCTTTGATGACATTGAAATAATTCAGTTGTCAGAAACTTTCACTCTTTCCCAGTTGTGTCTGACTGCAAAGTCATTGAGTAATGTGTCTCACTTCTTCATTTGCCATAGATAGAATAAAGTTTTTTCTTAGCTTCCATTCTACTTTTGACTGTCAGTACCTATTTGTATGCTTGAGTCTTTTTCAGCCTTATCACTACTGCTAGAGCATCTTAATCTGTAACAATGATCTAGGTTGAGCTCTACATTCAGAGTGACAAGTATTTTCAGTGGTACATAAGTTATTTGTTGTTTAAAGAAACACACCTCCAATGTTAAACATGTCAGAACCTCCTTTTTTTTAATATGCTAATTACCACTCTAGGTTGGTATCTGTGTCTGGTTTTCACAAGAACAACATAAACAGGGTGAATCAAAAAGTCTTTTCTCATAGGTCTATATGAGATGTTCAGACTGCATGCCTTGTGGACAGATGTATAGACATACTTGGAGATAAAATCATTCATGAATGTGATGAATGACTTCTCCTGTAATAGCTGTGCACTCTCAACAAATGTTACCTTTATGGTTTTCAAGGTTCGAGTGAGGCAGAGATTTCATATACCATCTCTACAGTACATGACTCTGTATCCCTTTCACAAGGGTGCCTACAATGAAATTCTTCACACACCATTCTCTGACACAGTCCCCCTACATGAAGGAGGACTTATTCAACCTTCTCCTGAGGTGTGCAGTCATCACTATCTGCCATTATTTGGTAATGTACTGGAAAAAAAAATTTTTTTTAAATCTCCATAAGTTCGTACTTTTGATTCACCCTGTATATGAATTATCTGGGCCTCTTTGGCCATTTCTGAAAAGTTTGCACTAGTATTATATTTTCTCATGAGGACTGCAAGTGGAAATTTTGAAAAAGAGTACACTCATGCTGATGGTTCTCATGTGGCAATGTGGGGGGAATGTGCCTTTATCCCTTTATAGGACATAAGACTGGGAGTTAATTTTAAAAATTCATATATTATTTGAAGACTCCTTACATGCTATACTCCACATGAAATTGTTTCACCCATATCTGTACAATAACAGGGCAGAAATGATATCATACTGGTTGTTACAGGTCATTCCCCATCATAAGTTGGCAATGGGATAATAATTCCTGACTGCTACCAGGAGGAAATTATTTTCCCAGTGATCTATGTAGGGTTATGAATAACCTTCCCAAATTAGCTACTATTTCATTGCAACTCTGACTATACCTGTCCTGAATCCTAGCTGCATCCCTCTTTCAGATATACTTAGTGGGGAGACAGGCATTAGTTTTCATAGAAAGGTGAAGAAACAGCTCATCTGGTGCCATGACAATCTCCACATATTCCACATCTCTGTTGCAATGGAGGAAAAACAAAACCCTCACCAAATCCTCCTTCCTCGTTGACTTCTGTGTTGTTCTCCATCTACCTTTCTTTAGAAGTAAGCTAGAGAAAGATACTGAATCTATCTTTCTAAAGACATTCATTCCCACTAAATGCTTTTCTTTTCCATGCTACTTGTAATTGAAAGGGAGACATTTGGTTTTACCATTCTTGGATGTCTATATGAATAGTGAAGTTGTGTGATGCAGTTGTGTATAGAACCCAAGACAGTGTTGGACAAATATAAGTTTCATATGAAAATATTGATGAACAAAGCTGTAATAAATATAAAGGCAGAATAATAGGTTGCACTCCAGGTTGGAAAAAAAGCCCATGTGCTATGGACATGAAAAAAAAATCAATTTCCTCTGCTAAAAATTTTGTTCTATAACACTGACAGTCATGCATTTGATACATATTTTGCCCCTAAATTAATGCTCAACCATTTTCCTGTAAAATGCCATAAAAATAATAATAAAGTTTTATTTAACAAACATATTTTTCTGCAAGGAGCAACTAAAAGATCCAAATAAAAAGGAAAACTTCCATTCAACCCCCTACTCTTGAGCATAGACACAAGGCCTCTTCTCTGCAGATGTAGTACTGTTCACTCAAAGCAGTAGTTACTACTCTTTTTCTGAAGAGTAACAATCACAGTTTTAACAAATGCTTCTTAAATTCTCAGGTTGCATTTTAAGATAAAGATCCCCAGGAATTTATCCCCAATATTTTATTAAAACTTTCAGAAAACCTTAATGAATTATGCATTTAGAGTATATAAAACAAACTTGCATGTTTTACAGTCTCAGCTTAGGTACTATGTCAATGACTGTGGAAGAGTTAAAACTGTATCTATAGGTGCATAGTGCCTATTCCCTTTCTTCAATAGGACTTAAAGGAAGGCTTTTGGAGCCCTTTTCTGCAGTTCTTAGGTGAATAAGTATCTAGAGGTAGGGTAAAAGTTTGCTCTTGACCCATGACCCACTCCTCTTTGAATGTTTGTATTTCTGGAACAATTTCACCAAGAATGCTGAAATTTGCACCTTCCTCTCCCACCATTCTCAGCTGCTTTTGCTCAATTTTTAAAATTGATTTAGACTTCTAGCAATTAATCACAACCAATGTAGTAAAGGTTTTTTTTTTTTTAATATGACCATGTTGCATGGGCAGGGAAGGCTCTGGCACCAAGTGTGGCTAGTCAGGTGCTTTGCAAATACCTGTAGATGCAATTAATCACATTGCAGGACTATCTCATTTCTTTCTGACTTGTTTTCTTACTTGCAGATGAAGGAAAAGGTACTGCAAGGGCAATCCTCCCTCCTGCATTTAATTCTGTTGAAGGAAGACAGAGCTATCACCACATCCTATTCTCAAACCTTTTCTTCTTGGAGTCACTTCTCTCTTCTATTCAGGTGACCTTGATGAAAGTATAAGGAAGATTGACTCTAGAAAGCATGAAAGCTGCAAAATATCCTTGTTTATTTTCCCACTTACAGATGGAGATATTATCAAGGCAGTCCTCTCTTCTTGATTCCTGCTTGGTGGGAGGCAAATCTACTAAGGCTGATTTTTTTCTTTGGATCACTTTTCCTTACTCTCCATGGTTTTCAATGGAACTTATGCATGTGTCACAGACGTGGGAATTTACTGATCTCCTTGGAATGTATTTTGAAGTAACAGCTAATATTTTCATCTACTGTCAACTGTGATTTTGACTTTGGCATGTCCAAAGAGAAATTAAGTGTGTGTTCATCATAACTTGGATTTCAGAATTCCTGGGGATCTTTATCTTAAAATGCAACCTGAGAATTTAAGAAGCATTTGTTAAAACTGTGATTGTTACTCTTCAGAAAAAGAGTACTAACTACTGCTTTGGGTGAACAGTACTACATCTGCAGAGAAGAGGCCTTGTGTCTATGCTCAAGAGTAGGGGGTTGAATGGAAGTTTTCCTTTTTATTTGGATCTTTTAGTTGCTCCTTGCAGAAAAATATGTTTGCACTGTCCAACTTGACTGCTACCTTCTTGACTGAAGTTTCTGTTGTCTTGTGAAGTTGTTTCTTAGTCAGAGTACGATTTCATGGTGTGTGA